CTCTCTCTCTCTCTCTCTCTCTCTCTCTCTCTCTCTCTCTCTCTCTCTCTCTCTCTCTCTCTCTCTCTCTCTCTCTCTCTCTCTCTCTCATACAAGCCCACAGCTTTGGTGCCCAGCCGTCGACTACTCTCTCGCCCGACAATGTTCACGCTCCAAGATCTTCACGCCCAGCAATGCAGCAGTGCTTCCGCATCTGCCAGAATTGCAGAAGAGGAGTTTCCTGACATCGGCCTCTCTTTTGTGCTTGTGTCTCTCCCTCCCATGTCATTCCAAACTCTTCCTGTCGTGCCTCCTGCTGCAGATAGAGATTTGGTCTACTGTGGACTTCAATGGGACTGGAACTGGACACGTGTCGACCCCCTACCTACTGACTACTAGGACCCTACTACTGTTTCTACCGGTCTCATCTTATCAGATCTCCATTTTGCCCTGTCAGTACCTACTGGATGGTTCTGCTTCGACCCTAAAAAAAAGTGGACATGGTGCAGGGATCGTGTTGCGGCCGAGCATGAATCCTTTGATTCCTTTCACACCCACTGGTCTAAATTCGAGGTCCTTTGAGAAGTACTATTAGCTAAGACTGCCTTGAGAAATCAGCAATGCCTGTAAGGCAGTAGGAATTTGACAGCAGTGGTTTGCCATGAGCTACTCTTGTTAGACCAAACCTCAGATGCTTATAAAGACTTTGCTTTAGAAATGATTAATGAAGTTGAAATGAAGATGGCAACATCAGGAGTAGCTACCTGTGAAACTCAAGAATCCCCCTTTGTGTGTGCTCATAATCCGAGACTATGCAAGGTGTGGTTCCACGCTTCGGGTCTTGGTATCTCCATCTCATTCTGAGCTCAGTCTGATCTACGATGCAGTCAATGTCATATCTCCCATCTAAACCAGGTGGAATGTGAGGGACAGGATTGTCCCAAATTGGTAGAGAACAACTTTGAAGCATGAATGATTGGTTAAGTGAGAAGATGCAGAGGAACGTCAACCTTGTAAGATCTAATGTCAACAAATCCTTTCTTGAGGATAAATTTATTGGACTTCTTCCAGACTAGATCACCTACTACGAACCATCTTGAATTGTGCATGCTTGATATTCTCAATAACTTGCTGCAGGTCATTCTCATACTTCAATGCAAACTCGTGGGTGCCTAGTGGTAATCTTTGAATCTGATCCGGATGAAGTCTGTTCATAGGCCTCAATGGCTTCCGTTCATTATGCAAGCCTCAGGAGTTGTTACATGCCCAGTTGGGCGATGTACATATAAACCGAGGATCCGCAATGTGATAAAAAGGACTGAATGGACAATGCAGTGCAAGTGGAATCTCAACAAGCAATGTGCATTCCGATACATACAAAACGGTGTTTTATAGCGCAGTGGAAGATTTGGATACAAGTCCTGACCTGACCGGGACTGACCTCTTTCACGTAGTATAAGATAGCGAAACAGAATGCTAGAATACTAAGGACTAGCCCACGCACTGTTTCAACACAGACCAAACATACATCATGTTCATCACAAGGTGTGATGGGCCCTGGCGCTATACACAGGAAGGAGGCGCCAGGTCCAGCCATACACAGACGAAGAGGAGGGGATCAGACGAAGAAGAGGAAGGGGGAGATGGGAAAGTCGTCAACACCAAGTCTCGTTACAAGTCCCAAATAATCCCT